TCGCCCGTACTCGCTGATATCGTCCGTGCGCTGACCATTGCTGAACAGCTGGACGCGCTTGATGAAGCAGCTTCCCTCGAAGGAGCCGGGGTAGACCATGCCGCCGCCGCCGTCGGTGTTCCGCGCCCTGAAGGCTCATTTTAGGCTTTCGGGATCGATCCAGTCGCTGCCGCTGGTCAGGGGGATCCTGGCCACTCGGCTGGTGGTCGGGGTGAAAGTGCTCAGGAAGCTCGGGAAGTATTGCGCGTCGCGTCTCGACTGCGCGTAATTCTCATTGTTTGTCGAGAAGTCCAGGCTCTGCATGAGCTCATCCTGAACGGCTTGGGTGATGTTGTCCATCCTTGCTTTCCTTACTAGTACTACGCAAGTTCGAGGTCACTCCGGGCTTACTGGGTTGGTGCCGGCGCATCTGCCGGCCTGTGAGGCTGAAGTGCTTGGTCGCTATCCGTGCCCCTGCCGCCGCCTCCCAGCCTTTAGGAAGCCGCGGTGAGGCCTCTTTCGATGGCCCACGCCGTGCCGATGAGCCCGGCGGCTGCCAGGCCTCCTGTCAATGCGCCCGCCGCCCAAGGCTATCTCGCCGGCCGTCGCCAAGGCGCCTCCTGCCGCCGCAGCTTCCGTTGCTGCAGCCACCGCTTCTGCGCCCGAAGCCGCAACTTCAGCAGCGCTTGCAAAGCCTTCCGCCTCGGCTTCGGCCATCTGGCTCTGTCAGAAAGCCTCTATATCTCTCACTGCTTGAGCCTCCTCCTATGATCTGGGGTTCTATGTTCTCGGGCGGGGCGCTGGGTGCCAATCCGTCCGGTTGAAGTGCGAGGTCACGTAGTTGGTGGCCTGTCGTTGGGGCAACTGCAGAGACAGGGGCTCCCCTTCGTCTATATAGCCCAGCACCTCCCCGTAGTTGGGGCGGACCCGGAAACCGTACTGACGTCGTTCCTCCATGCTTTTGTTAGTAGATACCGCCCATCACACCGGACTCGCTATGCGGCGATGTGGCGGAGCTGCGGCGCCCGCCGGTTCACGGCCTCCGTGAGGCGGCCCACCGCGTCGGTGTACTCCTCGCCCTCCTGGCGAGTCCTGCGCTCGTCCAGCCACTTGTTGGAGGCCAGGGCAGAGAGGCAGAACACGATGAGCATACACC